AGCATATATATATGTAACTATTTTAAATTACTAATAAAGATATAAGCAAGGCCTCACCTTAATACCAAAAAAAAAAAAAAATTTAGAAAATTGTTTTTTTAGTTATATATTAATATCTTAATAATATTTTCATGATTATTATTTTTCTTATTTGATATCATATAAATAAAAAAAAAAAATATCAAATTTTACTATTTTGAATTTTTGATCAAAAAAATCTAAAATTTGTATTTTTTTCTTAATATTTAAAAATTATAAAATTTAATATACTAATATAATATAAAATTATTTGTAAAAACATATTATTTAGAATATCAACATAGAATTATTTAATAAAATATTGAGTATCATAAGATTTTTAATAATTTTATTAATAAAATTATTAAAAATTTTAAAATTATTAGAATTTTACTAATTAATTATATCTTTATACTCTAATTAATCTGATTCTATATATAAAATTATATTAGAAATACATATTATTACGTATTTTATATTTATTAATTTTAAAAAAAAGATACCAAATTTTTTACAAATTTTATCAAATCTTGCTAAATTTTATTAATCTTAATAAATTTTACCAAATTATACTAAATTTTACAATTTTATTAAAAAACTTTTTGAAACACATTTGGGCCTGAAAATTAAAACACTTAGGACCTAACCCTGGAGCATCGCCCGGGCCTGAGAGTTAGTTTTCCGGCATAGTTTGTAAGACTGTCACATTCTACCTTTGATTTATGCATTTATAGCTGTTCTCATAAATTCTGGGACAACTGATAAAAAATAGATTGGCCGAATTCGATAAGTTTTAGAATTCGGTGTTATCGAATTACCGTAATGCTGAAAATCCAATTCTGATAACACCAAATTCAAAAACTTATCGAATTTGGCCAACCAATTTGTTATAAGTTGTCCCAGGATTTATGAGAAAACTTCTGTAATATATAAAGCTAATTATTCAATCTACATAAATTTGTGGAACTAATCAGGCGAATGCATTTTCGTGGATAGTTAATCCGGGTCACCCGGGTAGCAATATCTATGATCCGGTTAATGCATCTTACACGGTCACCCGGGTGGCATTTATACGGATACAATCCCTACATAAGAAACATCGTGAGTCAGAAAATGATTAGTAGAAAAGTGAACTTTAATTTTAGCTTAATAAAAAGAAGGGTAAGGCTTAAAATCTTTTTTGTAATTACACAAAAAAACGGTTTAGTAGCAAATTTGCCTGTTGGATGATTTAAGAGATAAATTTTATAGTATATAAAAAATACCTACTTAATAAGTTTGTATATAAATTAATATAATTAGTTTTAATAAATAATTATAATCCTTTAACAAGATTTTTATTTAATTATTTTAATAAAGTTTGTAATCTAATATTACTAATAAGTTTATACGTATTTAAAATATCTTTGATTTGGAAATTTTTTCTATTTTCAAGATCTTGTTATGGTTTTTAACTAAAAATTCTTGTATATAAATAATTCTTTTATTAGTATAGACAATATAAATATCATGTTGTTTTTTAAAAAGTATTTTAAAACTTTACACAATCATATTTCTAACTTTAATATCTCGAATTCAATCTTTTTGGTTGGATTAATAATATATATGATGATATTTCAAATTTCTTTGTTACTTTATAAACGAATAGAACTATTTTTTGACTAAATAAAAATAAAAATTCAACTCTTTTTATATTTGTTTTATTTAATAAACATTAATAATAAACATTCAATAAGTATTAATTAGAAACTACAAATATAATAGGTGCATAAAATGTGATTAATTGTTATTGTTCTTATAAGGTTTATGCAATATTTGAGCAAACATTTTAAATGAATAATAAAAGCATATGTATATAATTATTAAAGTTCTTTTTTATCATCTTAAATCCATTATTATTATACAATGATAAATAACGATAAAATTTATAAAAATACGAAATTCCTCGCACAAATTGAAATTATTACATCGCTTTTCAAATTGCATAATCTGGGGTCTTTAGTATTAATAATCTCATAATTACATAATTTATTTATATTTTTGAATAATAATATATATTAAATAATTGTATTGCATTAATAATTAAATAATTGTATCAGTATCGGGTATGTATTCACGCTCATACAATTATGCGACTTAGCCAATCAAATGAATTATTTAAATCTATATTAATTTAAGATCGCTAACTATATAAATAAATTCGAATTTAAAAAATAAGATCGGATTCAAATTCTATCAATTCTATCTGCGATAAGATTTCATTTTAATCTGATTCCATTTTAATTTACATATTGTTTGATTGGATTTATCAATAGGCTGAATGTTTTTTTTTTTATGAATCCCGTGATGCTATCCGGTATATAAAATCAGATCAACAGATATACTTCGTAATTACTAACTGGAAGTCGAGAGTGACAAATTAGACAGGTCAGGTCTCAATGTAAAACTTGAGGATTTTCTCCGGAATTATCAAATTTACAAAATATCCATCACAAAATATCAATATTATTGTGCGTCTATCGGAAATGCAGATTATCATATCAAACTTAGAATTAAAAATCGAAAGCCGATAATATGCCGGCCAAAAAGTTCTGTCTATATCGATACGTCTATTTAGGATCTTCAAGAGCTTTCAATCCCAATAGTTCATTACCATATTGATATTAATTATATGAGTTTTAAAATATATTTGGGTATAATCTTCACAAATCGGGTCATGTAATCCGTGTAAAAAATAAAATTAAATTTGATACAGTCAGACCTCCCTAAATGCATTTAGAGGTATTGCATATGTATCATGAATTCAGGGCCAAACAAGACCATGCATGCATTTAAAGAGGTTTTTCGTAGACTATGCACTTACGGAGGTTGCATTTAGAGGGTCTGACTGTATGTGTATGATAGTAGTACGGGTATGTGACACATTGAGTTTTAGTTATCTATAGTGATACATTGAGTTATAGTGAAGATTCAAATATTTATTTCATAGTGTTTCAAAACTTTTGATGATATGGAAGACGGACATCCAAAAAATTGTGATATTATGTAATTTAATCCCCGTACGATCAGTGATCTGGCACACAAATGCTTATCGAAACGAACACTGATATTATGTAATACAAATTTGAGTCAAAGTCCGGTACAGAAAAGTACTACATAGCAGGTTTCTCTTGGCAACACCCATGCCATCTACTATACATCAAGTTGACATGCATTTATTCTACGTATTATTATATTACATTAACCCGGAAAAAAATTTATGAAATTGCTGATATTTATTATTATGAAACTGTATGTAGTACATAGTGTTTTTTAATTTTTAATTTTTTTAACTTAATTTTTAATTCAAAGATATCGGGAATATAGAAGGTATCGATAGATAGTCAGAGATTAATCGCAAAATACCAAATATCTTTCAAAACCATTATTTACTAATATGAATAAATGAAGTATTATTATTAATCTAGAGATGTTAAGGACTCAACTCGACTGACTTTGACATGACTTGCATCAACTCAGAAGTAAAAGTAGACTTCTGGTCAATCACGTGACCACTCATTGTTATTTTTTACGCTGATAAAATTTGATTGATTTATTAATTACACGCATATATATACGTAGTAATTTAAACAATTGAATTTCTTAAATACTTATTACTAAATTCATTAACAATTGTTAATAAATTTAGTAATTAATTTTTAATTATTCAAAATTTTCTTATCTATTAATTAAAAATTGTACGAATATTTTGAAACACGGAATATAAAATCATTTTAAAAAGGTACCTTTCAGTTTACTTTGAATAACCTTTAAAGTAATTGTGACTATCGTTCGGTTAAATGCGAGAGATTATCGTTATAAAAATGTTGGAATTCTATTCAAAAATTGGCGGAGTCCGTTGTATTATCACTCCATTATATATTAAAAAAAATCCAAAAAAAGCGTAAATAGAATGAAAACTTTTGTTTTTGCATGTGAAATCGGGATTACCTACTTGTACTTTTTTATTGTATAATGCACGGAATTTGTCATTGTGCGTTACCGATTTGGCACTAAGGACTAACTATGCATACAATGTAACTTTTGATCTTCTCAATTTCCGTTCGTATTACTTTTCCTAATCAGATTTGGCATTAGTATCGGTTCGGACCGGGCTGGACTAATCTCAATGATAACGGTAGTCATTCACATCACCGACAATAATTCAATTTAACCGACATCACGTAAGGTGATAACTTAGCATTCTATTGGTTGCAGGTATATATTGTTATTTGATATGGTATCAGTTAAATAACCTGCAATTCGGTTTCGATTAACTAGTTTGGAGTCAGAGAGCTTTAACATCCCTAGTTCGGTTAGTCTTAAATCTTCATTAGGACCAATAGACTTATTACGTTGTGACAAAGATTTTTGGAAAACGTCACAGTATTCCAAACATCCATACAAACAAATTTGTGAAACACACATGGAATATTAATGTTATATACTAATATAGTAGGATTCTCACTTTGCGGTTACATTTAATATAACTCTATGTCAGCATATTTTTCAATGTTAGATACCTTTCAAGGGTAAGATTTATTAAGGTATTCAATACTGATGTTTTTCATGCGAAACAACGTGATGATGATAATCCTTGGCATACGAACCCAATTTGTGATAAAAACAGAATAAAGGTAGGGTAGTGATACAGACTTACGAAACTATTTTTAAATAATCGGCGGCACAATTAATTTAAAGGTTACTTTATTTTTTTTTTCCTCTTTTAACTCAATTTCTGTTCTGTCTATGTTAATCATGAATTTTACCCTTATCAATTTTTTCTTACTATAAAATATTCAACATATGAAAAACCTTTCAATTTTCTAACATTTTAGAGAATAACCGACTTAATTATTATTCTTAACAATATATCTTTATCTTATTTATATATATATATAAAGTCATATATATAAATTCGCTTATATAAACAAGAATTAATGATGAATTCGCACCTGAGTGATTCTAGCGAAACATCATCTATTTCAGCAACTTCTCTCAATACACAGGTAAATAAAATTCAAGTTTACTACATGATATACCATCGTAAACATTGCGCAAAGTGGATACTGAATGGAAAAAATTATTTGTATTTAATAAACTCTATTGTCATCTCTTTAACTTACTTTCCTTTTTTTTTTTATTAATTTAGAATAATTTGCCAATAGCCGCACAATTCTCATCTAATAATAACATGAATGAAATTTCGAGTACAGACTACCAGGTTGAACATCAAGACGTTGATGCGAATTGGTATCGACGGTTTTTCTATGGAAGAGGTAAATGTTAATAATTTTTTTACTTATTTTGTTCAATATGAATTCTCTTAGACTGAATGCCAATTCGCTTCATATTTTTAGACCATCCCACGTTTATAGGAACTATTGAACCATATGGTCCTGTTATAGTTTCAATTATTCATGATACGTATCACAATGTCGGTGATATATACTGGTATAGATACATTGTTCGCAAAAAAGAGGTACATATTTACTTCTTAAAAAACACTTGTGCATGCATATGTATCCTGCATTATTAAATATATATTTATAGGTTTCAGACCATCGTGGTGTTTTAGCAGGCCAAGCTTACTTTGGTGAACCAATATGGGAAGAACTATTGAAAATGATCGACAGAAATTTTGTACCACACCGTTTGACAAAATTTATAACCACACCAGAATTAAGCAAAGAACTATTAAATTTAGATGAATCAAGGGTACGTACATGAATCACTCCCAAAAAATTGGGTTTCATCGACTAACCTACATATATCCTTATTTATATTTATTTATTTATTTATTTATTTATTTATTTATTTATTTATTTATTTATTTATTTATTTATTTATTTATTTATTTATAGCTTCAACAACAATACAAGATTGGTGTTCTTTATCAAGCACCATTTCAAGTATCCGAAGAAGAATGGTTTGCAAACACAACAGCGTCACCGGAGTATGAAAGGTTCCTTAAATTGTTAGGCACTAAAATTGAACTGTTGGGATGGCAGCGGTTCGGAGGCGGTTTAGATACAAAAACGGGAGGTTCCGGCAAATATTCAATTTATGACCATGGAACATGGAAAGATTTTGAGATAATGTATCACGTGAGCACCTTGTTACCTTTCGAAGATAAAAATAAATATCAAATTACAAGGAAAAGGCACTTGGGAAATGGTAAGTTTTATAATTATTAATTATATGATAAAAACAGATTTAAAAACATATTAATATGTAATAGATTACTATAATAATAATAATAATAATAATAATAATCATTATTCTTATTAATTTCTATCGTTTAGATGTCGTATGCATAGTATTTCAAGACGTACCGAAACCATTTTCTCCATTCGCAATACGTTCACAATTCTTACAAGTGTATGTAATAGTCCGCCCTGTACATTTGCACAATGGTTATGAAGCTTATAGGTACGAGTTTTCAATTTAATTAATATAAATATATCGACAATATATAATATAAATATACAGAAAACATAATATAAATATATCGACTGCATACGTTATATTTTTGATATTAATAATTATTCGTATTATTCATATTAGTGTTGAAATAATGTGCAAAGAAGGTGTTCCGTCTTTCGGTCCCGCATTACCCAGTCCACCAATCTTTTATGATCTAATATCATTAAAGAAATTTTTAGTTGCCACAGGTAACATAATCTTTTTATTAATTTATTCGATAATTTAATAACACAATAATTATATTCATTATATTCATTATGTTTATACTATTTTTGGTTTTTTTTTTGTTTATATTATATAGTTATAAATGGCCAAAACGCTGCATGGAAAACCTTAAAACTATCTGAACCATTCCTCCGAGCCCGAAATGGTATGGTGTGTGACATTGCCAAAAGGTATACACCTTTAGTACTTACTCCATTGACTCCTCCACAATCACCAAAGAAAATTCCACGAGATGACATAGACAGTACCTTGAAACGACTTTTTATTAAAGAATTGAAATTAAATGGTTCATTACCCGATATACTGCAAGTAAAATCTTTACTTGATAAAGGCGCAAATCCAAATATTAGGATACCTCGACCTAAACCATCTCGGGAACAATTAAGACAACAATCGGTATCGTCTTCATTAACTCACAACAGTTTTAATTCAGAATCAAGTGAAAATGAGTCAATGTACAAACTTCCAAATATATTATTTGCTGCCATAGCATTGGCAGATGATCCTGTATATGTTAAACTATTAATTAATTATGGTGCTGAAACAATGCCACGAGACACTCGTTTCCCAAATGCATTTGTATTTGCCGCAAGGTATCAAAGAGTAGAAACAATGAGATGTTTACTGGAAAATGTGCCTTCATTGGGTGATCCAGAATCTGTTGATGCCGCTATAGGTGAACGTGGTAACAGCAAAAATTCTGTCGGGACCAAATTATGGGAAGAAGTTAAAAAGTTAAAGAATTCATTTAGAAATTAATTACGCATATTATATTTGTACTTTTATTAATATTATATAATATATTATATGATGTATAGTGTTATAAATTTAAAAAATGTCCATTTTTTTTAAATACAGTATTAAAAATAAATTTAATAGATGCTGTATATCAAACTTTTTTTTTTTTGTAATTTAACAAAAAGGTAAGATTTTTAATATATTTAATAATAATACTTATGTTAAATAATTTTATTTATCTACCCTTTTTGTATTATTATTACCTATTCATATAATTGTTAAATAATATTATTAATATATATATAGATTACAAAAAAGTTAGTTAATAATTAAGTATACTAAACATAGAGTTTGTCATAAAAATTGGATTTTTTAATTTACGTATATCAAGATTACTAATTTAATATTAGCTAATACAATATACGTATACTGTAGTAGTAAAATTATTTTAATATTTTGATTTAATTTTATTATCATAATATTTAATTTTGTAATTTTAAAATATTAAATTTAGTAAGTAATATTTGTAATTAAAGTTTAAAATAAAAACGACTTAAAACATTTAAATTATAATTATAAAATTAAAAATTTTTTTGATAAACTTATATTCATATATAAACTTTAAAAACTAATAACTTTTATCTAAAAATAATATAATAAAAAACTATTAATTTGCAATAAACTATTATTATAATTTAGCAACTTGATTTTTTAATTTCTAAAGTAAATTTAAATAATATTTAAAGACAATTCTGAAATTTGAAGATATAATAATTAGCATAATCTTGATTTTAATAAAACTCTATCTTTCTAACTAATTTGCTCACGTGAATTTCGAAATTTTACGCAGATTTAATGTAATGGTCAGAACCGCAAGTGGGTCAAAATTGTGGTATGAAGAATATTTTTTCAAGACATAATTTTAAAATTGTTTTCTTACTTTCAGGTCAAAGTTCTATTATAAACAACATAAAGAATTCGTGTACTTTTTCAATAGAATTTAGATGACCAATAAATGAACTTGTGCTCATAATAATTAATGAATTCAACCTGGCACTCATGTGCTGGCCCTGTTCTTTAGCTAGTCCTTCACAAGCTAGGGATTCACCTCGTTCTTGAAGACTTTTATTGATGATTTGATAACATATGAAATAAATTATTTCAAAATATATTGTATTTGTTACTAACGAAGGATTGGTTTCACTCAAGAACACTTTCTACTTAAGTGCCATATTTATAATATTCAAAGCTCGCATGAGATGATTAATAAGAGAAGTTACTAAAACTTTTAGTAATGAACTTTATTTAAAGAATGTACGAGTGATCTTGCCGATTCAAATGCAACGACGCGAAAAAATATACATATAGTGTCAGATTATTATTATTATTTTAAAAAAAGCTATTGAATAATACATCTCCTTCTTGATTCAGAAAAAACATTGCGTTTAATTGTTTGTTTATTCGAATTTCCAACAACTCGTGAGGAGGAACACCCGACGTCAGGATTCAGATATGCAGCATTGTATAATGTCTTTGTTAAATCATTTGATACTCTATCCAATTTTTGTTGAACTTTATCTGCTTCTTCAAAAGCACCTCGTTCTCTCAAATATTTTTCACGTTTAGTTAAAAAATCTACTAGTTTTTCCAAGTTTTCTACTACGTCATGTGTCTTTTGCTGTTTTTTCCTTTCCTCTCTTATGTCATCATCGTCATCGTTACATTTTCTTTTTAAACTTCTCATTTCAAATTCCATAGCTTCATATTCTTGCGTTGAGATTCGAAAATTTGAACTATAAGGATATCCACAACGAGTTGTTATATCAAAAGAATTTGATCCTTCTTGTATGTTGAATATTGTAAAATCGGCATTAGGTGTTATATGCCATGTGTTCGGATATGCTTTTACAACTGTCCTAGTTTCACGAATGTCAAGAATTATATATGATTTTATTGGTATTGAAGAATATTTGCCTCCTGTTTTTATATAAATAAACATTAAAATTTTTCTTTATAATAAAGTAGATTAATAAATTTATATCTACCATCTTGAAATCTTTCATGATGACGTTTCATGTCAATACCATCAATCAAAAGTTCAATAGCCCATTGAGGTTCCGAAATATAAAAATCTACCACTCCATCGGTAGCGAATATCCTTCCAACATCCGGTGAAATATGCATTTCATCAGGTAAACAACTATAAATTGTTCTATAAAATTCCATTTGCCAAACTCTTTCTAATAGTCTCATACCATCCTTTGAACGTCCCAAATTATGTGTAAGATATCTTGAATTAACACGTGATAAAGCTTCGCGTACTAAGTCTTGAAGTGTAAACCCATTTTTTAAAGGTTGTTTGACTGAAGTACATCGATGATAAAATGATAAAAGTCGTGTAACCGGTGAGATAAATCCTACGCGACCTTCACGAAGTATGAATTCTGGTCCTTTAGCATCAATATAGAATAAAACACCAGATTTTAGAAGGGCTGTGACTGCTTCATCTGGTCCAGTAGAATATAATTTGATTTCATCATTTAACAGGAGTTTATCGATTACATCACCTATTGTAATGAAAATTAATGCATCGATTAATAGATGAATAATATTAAATATGTGACAGCTGAGCTGATACTGAAATTTTGACCTATTTATTATGAAATTTTAAATGTAGTCTTTTTTTTCAAGGTTAGGTTCGTATTAGGATTAGGGTTAGGATTAGAATTGGAGTTGTTAATACGTAAAAGAGTATATATGGGCTCCTCACAGCAAAAGAAGACAGTGGGACATTTTAATTTTATGTAAAAATTTTATGTAGTAACAATTTAATATTTGCTAATTTAAATTTCAAATATATTTGCTTATTTATAATATAAACAGGCAGTTATTTTTATATTTTCAAAATTAAATTGAAGTGTCTCACTGCTCCTTTTGTTGTTGGAACCCATATGTGGATTTTTAATAGTCATTATACAAAATCAGCCAACTTCAGCATAGGCTACCATACATAATATTACCTTCAGCTGCATTGAATTTATAAAGTGGGGCCCCTCTATGAGCTTTAACATGTTCTATAAATTCAAAAGAAGTAAAATAAGACATTATCTCAACGTCAGTTGTGACTTTGTAGTTTGTGCCTCGATAAGAAAAATAATTATCAATGCCATTTAGTATCCAACGGATGAGACCAAGGTGTCCTGCAGTAAATTCCATTATATGCTGCGCGACTTTTTCACTAACATTGATTTTCTTTTTAATGTTGTAATTGTTAAACGCTTCAACCAATTCCATTAGCTCAGCCTGAGTGCATTTTATTAATTCAAAACCAAATTTTCGTCGAAAATCCACAGGACTTTGTACAGAAGTAGCTAGTCGACCACCTGTTGAGAAAGCAATAATTTTAATGATTTCTTGTCCAAGTGAAGCTTGTCGACATAATGATTTTATTCTTATCCAAAAAGTTTCGTATTGCGATCCGTCAAAGATATGGTGAATTTCGTCGAGGATAATAACTCTTTCACCGTGTTTAGGATTTAACCAGTATTTCCAACTTTTCCCCGTTTCGTTTATCCAAAATTCTTCAAAAGTCATATCTTCAACACCCAAGAAACATATTTGTAGTACGGGAGTATCTTTTTTTCGATAGTATTCTTCAAGTAATATGCATAAAGAGGTTTTTCCTGTAAATGGTGGTGCACGAATTAGAATGACGCAATCTCGTTGAATAAATTGATCAATCCGCATTACGGTTTCTTCTCTATGTGTTATCCAATTGTCAGATGTAAGATTAATTCCTTCATTTTCAATAGAAGGCGTATTGACGAAAGCTTCGGATCCAGAATCAGAAAATTCACCATCAAAGAGGGTACTATTATTACAGTTTTGGCTGTTTTGTTGAGGATCAATTCGTAGAGAAATTTCTTGCGTCTCCATTGGTGTCAAACTATGATAAATATCATTATGACCTAGTTCATCATTCATTTTTTATTGGTGAAGTTTGCAATTAAACTATAATAAAGACTAAACAAATTCACTAAAATATGAAATTCATGTTTTTTTTTGTTTTTTTTTTTAAGAAAAATTATTTATGAAGAAAGTGCTGAGAATGGAAAGTAATGTAACTTAGGTACCGATTATTTCTATAAAGCAATTCTTTTTTTTTGATATATTTTCTTTGGAAAGTTTACTTTCTTAGTTTTTGAATCAACGCTGATTTTTAGTAATATCAAAGAATCCTTGGCATCATTTTATATAACACTTTGAAAGAATGATTAATAAAAATATGCATGATTAATTCCCTTTAAGGATTAAAAGCAGCATTTTTATTTTCAAATTTGATATAATGATATCAATACGATCCGAAGCCGAATAATCAAGGATCAAAAAATCCGTATTTATAAAAATCATAATAACGATAGAACGTAATTCGCCTTCATTTGCTTGTTTCACATTCTCTGATCGAACCTGTTGGGATCAACTTGTTAATTATTAAACATATTACTAGAAAATTGGCGTTATGCTTATTTCTGAAAAACATAATTGGCGAGTATTAGGATTACGATCCGTTAAGTGATCGATAAAATAAATTGCCCAAGTAGTGTTATAAGTCGATTAGGAGCTAGTCGACTCAGTCGATTTAGCCGACTCAGTCATAATATTATTCGCCTAGTTTAGTTATTGCCTTTTTTATAATTTTTATTGGATAATTTACTTTATTGTTATAAAAACAATGTCTTGAATAGTCATTTGTAAACTTTAAAAAATCTTGAATAAAGTCGTTTAATAAAGATAATTTGAAAGTTGTAAATTTTAAGCATGAATAATCTTTTAGAAAATCAAATTGAAGTAGAAAATGATCAATCATCAAGACCTACTACGTCTCATATGCAAGTTATTTCAGCTAACCAGAGTGTTAAAAGTTGAGTTTGGTTATTTGTTAATAAACAAACTTGATATTGTCAAGTTATAATTGAGGATAAAGGTGTCAGATGTCAATGTGAATAATCTTGTCAGAAAAAAACAAGCATAACTAATATTGCTAGTCATTTAAGAGTTAAACGTCAGATAATTGAAGAAAAAGAAGAAGCTGAAGTAATAAACTCAGAAATACATAATAGAAATTTTTTACTTGAACAAAATAAAAGTAAAAAAATTAGATATTATTTAAAAGTTTAGTTAATAGATGACATGCAAGCTTTTCATGTATTAGAAATTGCAAATTTCAAAATTTTGTTCATGAACTTGAATTATTTTATTCTATTCCTTGTAAGAATTTCTTATATAAAAAAATAAATGAAATTGTTAGTATAGTCAAACAAAATTTAAATAAGTCAATGAACAATTCTATGTAATCTTTTTTTTTTATAACTGATTTGTGAACTTAGAATTATACACCTTATATTGGAATCATGATTCATTAGATAGCACCTAACTTTGAACTTAAACAAGCTTACTTACAATTGAAAATTTTACATATTCTCATACAGGTAATCATATTAAGGATTGTTTATACAAATAATTTAAAAAATGAAATATTACTGAAAAACTTTTTAGTAGTACAACTAATAATAATTCTGCAATGCTTAAAGTAATACATTAATTAGAAACTAATCATATTTGTTGTGTTGCATATACAATATAACTTGTAATTAAAGAGAATTAAAATATATAAAAAATTTAATTGATTTTATTAAAAAATTATATAACTTTATAGTTAATCATAACAAATATTACCTATTATTAAAATTAATTTTTTATAAAATAAATACTAAAAACAAGTAATTTATTATATTTTAGTAAACAAATAAAAATAATAATAATATATATTTATTTATATTTTTATCTCTTAAACTATATTTCAAACAAATTTATTTAGAAATTAAATTGTATTTAGTATTTTTAAATAAAATAATAATTTATTAATAATATTGGGTATACTTTGCTTATGAAATATATTCTTAAAAATATATTTTATAAACTTTATTATAAACCTTTTTTCAAAATATTAATAAACTTTTATATATTAAAATTTTAAAGATAATTTTTAAAATTTTTTACTATTAAAAATTTTTCAAGATTTTTTAAAATTTTATATGTTTCTGAAGCTAAAAAAAATTTTTATATTTTGTACAAGTTTAAATTTTTATAAATAAATTACAAAAGTGTTACTAATAAAAATTATCATAAACTAAAATATTGTATTAAGAACTATAGGTTTAAAATTAATATTTAAAAAGTTTATCAAAAATTTATAAATAATTTTTTTGATTAAAATTTTTTTAAATTTGTTTATTTTTAGTTTATAAATAACATAATTTTTTTCTTATAATATAAAATTAAATACTGTTATAATATATTTTTATTTTAAATATAAGTCTTATAGCTTAATAGTAAAGCTTCTATATTTTCATAGTCAAGATCAATAATTTAAGTCTGACTAAAAGCAAAATTAAAAGATTTTAGCTTCTGTAATCTAATAATGAGCCTGTAATTAAATATGAAGCCCTGTAGTCAAGTCCAAGTACAGTATATAATAGAAATAGGAATTCCTAAAAGAAGATCTAATTATAAAGTATAGGCACTATATATAACAAGCAGTTATTACAGAAGGTTACAGTTATGAAAAAATTGTGCATATAAGTTCTTTAGACTAGGGCAGTACTAATATTCTTATACCTCTTAATATAGATAGTACCAACATTTTTGCATCTAATTTGTAGGATATTACTTGATAGAATAATCAATAGATTATGCAAATAAGTCCTAATTAAGATTAAAGAAGATGATTTGTTTAGAAAAGTAGTCAGAATAATCAAGACTAGAATAGTGAAAAAAGTAATAAACACAAGAATAACCTGTGATAAAGAATTAAGTTAACCAAAATTGAAAGTATCTCTAGCATAGTTGCATAGTCTAATTATAGAAAAAAAGATCTTAAAGATTAATATATAACTTTTTTATACAATATAAAGGCACCAAATTGGATTCTGATCATACCTATATAGAAGTTTATAATGAACAAGACTGGGATTAACTAACCAATATGAAATAAGATCTATAAGTAGTATGACATTACTGAAGTTAGTATAACTCTTTAGGCATAACTAGAATTGTTTTGCAGATATTATTAAATAAGCTAAAAGCTTGCAATATATGATAATATAGTATTATTGAGGTCAAAAGAACTTCCTAGTTATAATCAGAATTGTTCTGTTTGTAAATGCAATAAGTCTCAGTCTCTATCATAAAGGGAGCATCTTGTTGAAGATTAAATACAGTATTAAATTACTATATGATGCTAAAACCTAAAGCATTTGCAAGAATAATAATAGCAAATTTGACTTGAAATATGAATTAGTCAAAAGACCAATAGTGATAACAGGTTTGGCTTAAGATATAGGTTCATTGTAGATCTTGAACCATTGTTAGAACACTTTAGAAAAATCAATAACAGGTATACCAAAAATGAAAGATTAAAAGAATTAGACATATTTAAGTATAATTAATTTGAGAATAATATAGTGACAAAAAGGTGAGAAATGTGAGAAACAAAATATTACTAGATATAGTTAGATTAGAAAGTAGAAAAAACAAAACTAGATAAACATGTGAGTAAAACACATGAATATGATTATAGAAGACAGTATCTCTAATATATAGAATATTATATTAAGTTTGATAAGTATCTCTGTCTGTGTAATAGTTTAATAATATGCCCTAATTGCAAGTAGTTGCCAAGATAACTATGTGCAAGTATGCAGCAGACATGCACTTAGATGCCATATAGGTAACCAAGTGAAGTTAGTAATATAATATTAGATAGCAAATATAGTACTAGTATAATTGATTCTAAAATATGTAACTATAAAAACCTGTATTATATTAAAATTAAAACTTAATAAACCAACTAGCATTGTCACTAAAATTCAAAAAAATAATAATAATAATAATTCTTATTTTTAAATATTATCAAATAAAATTTTATTTAAATATTTTAAAATTTAAAAAATGTAGATTATAAGTATAATTTTAACAATTTTTTAGGCAAATTTATCTAAAAAAGCTTACAGATTAAGAGATAATAGAAACAAATATACAAAAAATTAATATTTTAAACCCAATTGCATCTGATATAGAATATAATAATATAGAATTTTACTTTATTAAAAAGATTTATTTACTTTTGCAATATATTTTTTATATTAAATATAAGTTTGTTTTAGATTCTAATAAAACTATATAAAATAATAATAATAATTTAAAAAATTATTGCTTAATTCAGATAATTGAACATCATTAAAAAACTTAATTTTATTACTTTAATCTTTTGTAAATACAACAAATCTTATATCAGGTAGTTTATATTTTAAACTTTTACTATAATATTCTATTTTATAAAGTGTATGACATTTAAAGACTACATTTGTCTTATTTTGACTCCTAAACTAAAGTGTATCAAAAGTTAATTTATACAAATGTTATAGGTTGTTATGTAATTGAGCCAATCAAATATCCTGAAATAATATATATTAATTAAAAATCACATTTTTAAAAATACTATATTATTATATTTGTGCAAGTTTGGCCAAGTATGCATTGTCATATTTAACTAAAATTTATAAATTTGATGTTCTAATTGCCCAATACTGTTACTATATATATTTTATTAAGCATTTATTAGCACATGATTATAAAAAATTATGGATTGCCAAATCGATTGTTACTCAAATTGCATATATTGCACTTGCTCAAAACTGTAAACAAAATTGTTCACAAAAAATTAAGAATATGCAATTATTAAGGCCTCTTTATTTCTTTATTTAAGAAATTCTGTTTATATAATATTAATGACTTGTAAAAAAAAATTAAAAATTAAAATTTTAAAATTTATTCATTTAGGAAACCAGATGCCATATCAAACTGATTATAAATTAGAGCAGATCATGTTAAGATAAATTAAATAAAGCTGTTCTAATCTTAGTTTATTATCAAAAAAAACTATTGTTAATATATGTTAACTACTAAACAGATATTTTTTTACATTATTTTTCTCTAATAACATTCTTTCAATTATGACTTTTACTATTTATTGCTCTTCATAATTCTCTTATATGAACTGAACTAACTCATTCTGGGTATCTGTTTGTGTAACTTGAATTTCTTGCAAGCATATTCTGCCAGTTTTTCTGTTAATTCTTCACAATATAATTCTATATATTTTTATGACTTTTGTGCAAATCTTCTAATTTTAATAATATTGACCAAATTAAGTACTTGTAGAACAGTTTTCTGCAAACCAATCTAAGTGTAATCACAATGCTTTCTTGTATAGTTCTTAGCAGCCTTCCAATACATTTCGATAAAGTTAAGTTTGCAATAGAACTTTAGATAGAAAACACAAATATGACTAGCACCTTCTATTAGTTCTACAATAGCTGACTTTTGTGCAATAAAGTCAGGTTGAGATGCTATTATCTTTCTTGTACAACAGTCTATCTGTAAATTATCATTAGAAAACTTCTTACTCTTATATGCCTTATATTCTAAAAGCAAACTATTTTTTCAAAGGCTCTTTTTTTTTAATAATACTTTAATGCCTTTTGGCTTTTCTCACATAGTTTCATTATAATCCTTATCTTTCTCAAATACATAGTCTTTTTCAAATACTATATATTAAGTGTTCAACTGTTCATCAGCTTTCACAAAAGTTGTTAATTGCATTATTAGTTGGTTTCTACTAGGCTTTAGGTTCATTTTAGTAGTAATAAGAACATCTTTTGCATATGCTTTATGGTTTGTGCTATTATCAAAAGCAAACATAGCCATTGCATTTGAAAATTTTACTTCAAAAATATAAATTGCTTTATCTCTAATTTGCACTAATAAATTATTAACTATCCAAACTTTCTTGATTCTTTTTAGACATTAAATAGCAATATGCCTTTGTAGAAATGTTTAGATATATCCTTATCTCTTTTTCACTTAGTTTCAACTGATCACATTCCTCTAGAAGAAATTTACTCATTATGATTGATCTTTCATTTTCTTTCTTTTATAATAGCATACACTCATCTGATACCCAAATGCCTTTTTTCCTATCATTTGAGTAAAAAACATATTCATTATGCATTACAAAGATTAATTTTCATTTACAAGCCTTAAGTACTAGTAGAATTTTGTCTATTGCTTCTTTTTTATACTTGAAAGTAATAAAGTTTTGTTTTAAATTGCTTTGAAATTTACTTTAAATTATTATATATAGGATCTTTGCTAACAAAATAACTTATCAAGACTATAATTTACATAGTTCTGATAGGTTTCTTGTTAGTAAAAATCTTATATCATTTAGATTTATACCTTGCCATTTGATGTTTTAAGCCTTTCATTTCTTTCAAAAACTTTTTTTGATATGCAATTACATTATCTTGCTTATGTTCATTAACATATATTTCTTTTTGGTATGGTCTAAATTGGAAATCCAAGATATTTAGCTATCTTTCAGCTATTCACAAGCTGATTGTTTTTTTTGTTTCTTCTGTATACTTTGGAAGAATAACATCATTGATGTATTTTTGAATCTCAGATAAATCAACATCATTTATATTTAAATTTTATTGTATTCAACATTTATATTGCATTGCAATGTCTTCATTATCAACAAGTTATTTGTGTTCTAATGCTTTTCATAATATGACAATGAAAATGATCCATTATGCAAATAATATTTGGCTAAAGAATGAATCCTTCTAGCAATATATGGTTTTGATGTTATATAGATTTTATATGCAGCTTCCTGGCTTGTATTTTTTTTTCATACTCATCTTTTAATAATACAAAATATTTATAAACCATCTGATGCTTATTATACTCAAAAGCTGTAATTATATGCCCATTTTGTATTAGATATCTCTAAAGTTGGTTTATTTTTTCAGACACTGTAATTGATAAAGCTTTATTTACTGAAAATGCCATTTTTTTATATATTGTAACAGATGATATATCATCTATTAAAGACACTGTAAGACTACTTAAGAATAAATAAATTAATAAATTAGAATCTTATACACTTATTTTAAGTTGTATTGCTTGTTCAAAAGTACAGTTTTTTTTTTTTATTAGCTCTAATAAAACCTTATACAATAATATGCTGAACAAGTAATAAAATTATAAAATTAATCATAAACAATAAAATCCTAACTAACTAACTTTATGTTTTTAAAAAAAAACTTATAATTTTACAGGTTACTTTAGCAGCATTAGTCAGAATACTAGAAAAGCCAAACTTGTGATAATAAGTTGTTTTCAACAATTCCTTAATTATTTATAGTTTTTTTTCTTCCTTCTTTTATATGAGAGATATAATAAATAACTATTTATATATTCTTTTATTTTTATAGTTAACTACTTCCTTATCTTCTTTTTTCCTATTGAGCTTATTATCCTCTTCTAAATTCTAAACTTCAATATATACTTCTTTTCTAATTTTCTTTTTAAACTCTTTATTCTTTCATTTTTTTTTCAGCTAACTCTTTTTTTTGTATATTGTATTTCTTAAGTTTATTATTCATTTTTTTTCTTTTCTTCATACTTTATTAAAATATCCAACTTGACAAGAAAATGCATTTTGTTTGCAGATTCTTGCTGTATATGAATTGACACAGAATATATTTCATATATAAACTCTTATAAGAACCATACTTAAATTAGATTTTGTATACAAGTTCTTATCAGAATTAGAACTATACACAAACTATTTCATATGCAATTCTTATTATAGATCAAGGCTATATACAAATTATATTTTGTGTATGGGTTAGCACTAGGCTATCATATGGGTGGATTTTTTTCCACTCGATATTGTTACAAAATTCGAATTTGTCACAAATAATGATCAAAACATAATAGTAATCAATCAAATTTATTCCATTCGATTATATTACCTAAGTTATAAATAAAAAATAAAAAAATTTTTTGTATACATTAGTGTCAATGACTAGTAAATACCAACTTTGTCAAGAGAATTTTTATTTTCAAAAAGAGCTTGTAACTCATAAAAGAATTAGGCATAAAAATAACAAAACTATACCTCATTTTAAGCTACTTATTCAACCTCTCCTTGAGCAAATTACATTTTATCAAGATGCATTTATAGTTCTTGTTAAAAAATATCTTGGTTTTAATAGGCATTCGACAGGCACAAAACAAGTTTCTATTCATGCTTTTTCAGAAAACATATTTGTTTTCCTTTTTGAAAGTGAACCTTTATTTCATTATAGTCCTGTGCAATGAAAATATTTTTGTTTTTTTCAGGGTAAGGCCGGTGAACAAAAATTGAAACAACTAATCAATTATGATAATTGGAACATCTGACAAGATCTAAAATTAAAACTATAGGCTATGTTCTATTTGTAGATAATGAGAGTTCATACAGAGTTATATTTAGCTAGTCACAATTAGAATTTAAGAAGAATAATCAGATTTTTCAATATGGTACCATTACTTGTAAATTTATAGCAAATTCAGGAGAATTTTCTTAACAGTAAGGATTAAAATATAGGATTTTTGTTAACAAGACGATCTTTCAGTAGTTCTAAAAGGGTTTTCTGTTAGCAAAAATCCTATTTATTTATTTATTTATTTATTATTTTTTTTTTGAACTTTGGCGACAATGCCAGTTGGTTTTTATTAGCCTTAATTTGATATAGTACAAATTTATGGTTA